CAGCCGCGGGAGCGACAGTTTCGCGTCTAATGGCTGCGCGCGCAGTCGCGGGAACGACAGCGCGAGTATGGCGGCTGTGCGCGTGTGGTCCGTGTTTTTTTGTTAATAATTCAAAAGTAAAGTTTCAAACCCATTTTTGCAAAGTGAAATCTTATCCAAAATCACATCAACTACCCTCCATTGGACCTACACTAATTACGAGACATCCTATACGTGGATAAAATGGAGTGCTGTCAAAGGTAAGTAAAAATAAAAAACATGAATTTCTTCGTATTATCTTCTTTATTCTCTAAGTCCGATATATGAGCCCGTCATTTGGTTTTAACGCGTGGGCTCGTTGACCTTCATAAGTACAAGTAATCCTAATTCGCATACAAAACGCTCAACAGTATATCTCCCTTAAGAACTAATCAGTCATACTCCATATACTCCTAAACGTTGTTTCGTGCAGTCATACAAAACAATGCGAGCACAGCAGAATTTCGTTTGTATTAATCTCGAGTGTAAACGAAACAACAAATAATTTCTAAATTTACGCGAGTTTCGACATTCTGTAATTTCGAATGGCAGCTGAGAATTGAGAGCCGTTATTCTGTTTTATCGTTTAACAATCGATATTCAACAATTTCGAGACCTGCACATTTAATAATTTTTTACTATAATTGAACGATATAAAAATAACCTATAATCTAATTGTCACAGTCATGTTTTTTAGAGTATTAATGGTCTAAAAAAATATTTGTATTGCTGTTTTTAATTTAATTTATAGAAAAGTATTTACAAAATTGTTGAAGAAAATTTTTTAATCCAGCAGTTTATCTCTGTTACAATATCGATTATTTCTTCGAAATTTATTGCTCTTTCAGACCTCTTTGATTTTTACTTTCTCGGAACTCACTCTTTCTCGTTGCATTTTTTCGTGCATCGCTTCGAATCGTTTTCATAATGGCGTACTTCGCTTGATGAAATCAAGACAATTTTACAATATAATTCTCTCTTAATTAATTTCGTTAATCCATACGGGTCATATTCTTCTCTGTCTTTTTATGCAGATTTTGAATTTTTGAGGTTAAGAATTTAGGTATTCAAGACTTTAGGAGTTTCAGAATTTAAGAATTTAGGTACGTAAGAATTTAAAAATTTGGGAACATAAAAATTTCATATTTCTAAATTTTGAAATAACAAGTTTAAATTAATAGAAAGTTCAAATTTCCAAATTTTGCAGTCTTTAAATTTCCAAGTCTAGAAATTTAAATATGTAGAAATTTAGAAATTTTGTATTTGCATATTATAATTTGTCCATCACTGCTTCATAAGTCATCTGTTAAACCAAAAATTCAAAGTGATCAACAAATTAAGATCAATGTTGATTTCAAAGATCAATGTTGATGCGTTAGCACAGTCACTAGTTACTGAAGAAAAGCATATTTTCCATGATTGTATCGCTGTCAATGTCACAAAGTGAAAAAAACAAAAACCCTAATGGATTAATGATTTAAACATGGATTCTCATTCACACGCTTCATAGGTACATTTCACGGAGCATCCAAAATATCATGTGCCTTAAACATATATTTTCAAAAAGAAAAATCCAATCTGACTCCTTCAAATCTCTTTTTAGTGGCAGTATCAATGTCCATCTCGTACATTGCCACGAGCTTGAACTCAAAATAAAAAGAAAATAAAAAGTAAAGAAGTTGCACTTTAACTCACTGAATAATTAAAGAGAAACAAACAAATGAATCAATATGTGGATTTTCTCCAGGCAGCATGATCTCATGAACGCTCTGAACAAAAACATATTCTAAGCGTAACATTAAAGGATTAGCGTAATCTAGAATCAAATTTCTCTGGTACGCTCATTCTCACATGCTCTACTGTCCAAAAGTTTGAAATCACTTGTTAATCTCTGTTGAAATGAAACTTTTTGGTTAAGTCTGCAGAGAGATAGAAATGTTATTCTTCTATTTTTATATTTTCTGAATTCTAAATACTCTTAAACCTAAATGATGTACACTTTTCAGTAGCCGAAGGAAATTTTTAGAGAATTATAAGACAGTACAGGATTCAAAATAGTTGAATAAAATCATTTGGCCTTTTTTAAAGAATCACAATAACAATACAGGGTTCAAACAAGTTCTAAATCATTGGTAAAATCTTGAGGTTAGAGGTTAGAAGTTATCTCTAGAACCAATGTCAAAGAAGCAATCAAAGATTATTCTGAGTAACATGAATACAAAAGTTCGAAAAGACAAATTATTGTGAACAATGCAAAGATAAATTATTGTGAATATACATAAAAAGCTGTACATAATTGTTGCTACCTTTTAAAGTAATATTACAGAAATGAAACTTCAAGTGGTTCCAAACTCCTAGCCAACATTGTAAATAGACAGTTCTCCACGCTATTCCTAAACTACATCTAAAACGACTTTTCACGGGGTTTAAATTGTCACTCCGCGGCCATCGCGATACACCATTTTGTCCCGTGTCCGGCCGCCATTTTGTTCCTTTATCGCACAGCCCCGTGGCGTGCTGAATTAATCGACTAGTCACTAGTTTACGGCTGCACCTTGCTCGTTTCTTGTCGCGTAGGGCACGTGTTGCCCTCCCTTTGTTTAAAACCCTTCGTCCGTGCCATGCTTACACGCGGTTCTTTATACGCGAACCTTCAGATTCTTCGTTTCAGTTTATTGCTAATATCACGTCGACGATACTTTGGAGTCGGCTCTATTCGAGTCGATCGTCGACGTTCTTGAGATTTTTAATATTTTGTCGTCTTACTGTACCCCCTGTCACGCCCGTCCTGCGACTCGGGCAAATCGATGCGACAATGTGGCCCTTTCCGCCCAGGCGAATAAGTCTACGCTGGGGATCGCTTCGAAGTCGGTGCAGGACCTCAGCTTGTTCCTGAAGCAGAAATAAGGTTGAAAATTTTTGGATTGTGACTTTGGGAATTTTGGGAGTTTGAGGAACTGGGGTGGGACTTTAGGAATCTTGGGAGTTTGGGGGATTGGGTTGGGACTTTGGGAATCTTGGGAATTTGAAGGACTGGGTTGGGACTTTGGGAATTTTGGAAATTTGGGGAATTGGGGATGGACTTTGGGAATTTTGGGAGTTTGAGGGACTGGGTTGGGACTTTGGGAATTTTGGGAATTTGAGGGACTGGGTTGGGACTTTGGGAATTTTGGGAGTTTGAGGGACTGGGTTGGGACTTTGGGAATTTTGGAAATTTGGGGAATTGGGGATGGACTTTGGGAATTTTGGGAGTTTGAGGGACTGGGTTGGGACTTTGGGAATTTTGGAAATTTGGGGAATTGGGGATGGACTTTGGGAATTTTGGGAGTTTGAGGGACTGGGTTGGGACTTTGGGAATTTTGGAAATTTGGGGAATTGGGGATGGACTTTGGGAATTTTGGGAGTTTGAGGGACTGGGTTGGGACTTTGGGAATTTTGGGAATTTGAGGGACTGGGTTGGGACTTTGAGAATTTTGGAAATTTGGGGAATTGAGGTGGGACTTTGGGAATCTTGAGAGTTGGAGGAACTGAGGTGGGACTTTGGGAATTTTGGGAGTTTGAGGGGCTGGGTTGGGACTTTGGGAATTTTGGGAATTTGAGGGACTGGGTTGGGACTTTGGGAATTTTGGGAGTTTGAGGG